TAAATTGTTCTCCAGGGTTGGGTAGCCGTAAACACGCGGGTGCATCCGCAACGTACTGCATAAGTTCGTTGAAGGCCCGATCTGCTTCAGGAGTCCACGCGAACGATTCGCTTTTATGCAGAAGTTTTAGCAAGGGGCTTATCTTCTCCGCAAATTGGGGCACGAACCTCGAGTCATACGTTACCATACCGAGGAACGACCGGAGCTGACGCTTCGAGTTCGGGGCTGCAAAGTTCCTGATTGCTTCGCGTTTCTCTGGAAGCGGCTGAACCTGGCCGTTCCCGACAATGTGGCCCAAACATACAATCGACTTTTCAGCAATCTGTGACTTTTTGCGACTGAGCTTCAAGCCGGCTTCCTCCAGTCTTTGTAACACCGCTGCGAGTCGGGCACCAGGATCGTCTTCCGTCTCCGAGAAAATAATGATGTCATCCCCATAAACAACCACCTTTTTGAGGTTCTCCAGAACCATAAGTAGTAGGCGTCTGAATGTTGCCGGAGCGTTGCACAGTCCAAACGGCATTCTCAAGAATTCGTACTGTTGGCCATTTACGCCGCAAGCTGTTTTATACCTGTCTTCCTCTGCAATGGGGAGTTGCCAATAACCCGAACGTAGGTCGATCAATGAAATCAGCTTGGCATTGTGAAGATTGGAAAAAATTCCTTCCATTTGGGGCATTGGAAAAGCGTCTTTCACCATAACATTAAGCTCCCTGAAATCGATGCAGAATCTGTAGCTTCTGTCTGCCTTTCTCGTCAACAATACGGGAGATGAATACTGACTGTTTGTTCGTCTGATGATGCCTTTGGCCTCCAGTTCAGCCACCTGTGTCTGTATCTCCACCAGAGTATTCTGTGGTATCCGCCTGAAAATCGGCTTGCACTGCTGCTAGAGAGGCGGGCCCAGCCAATGTCCGAATACGAGATCGCAAACGTGTGTGGGTTTCCGGTGGAGTACGTGAGCTGTCTGCTACATGTGAAAGCACGAGCACGGTACAAAGTCAAACTGTTCGGAAAGCAGGCACGAGCTTTTGGCCAACGAATACAAGCCAGTTCAGGCGAGAGTTTTGGCTAGCAAATACAAGTCAGCGCCAAAGGAGGCAGTGCATTCGGCCAAATATGGAAAAACCGTGGAACCAAAATCACTGACATTGGCTGAGAGCCAGTCGCATAGCTAGGCTTCCTAAAAATAGTACGTTTCGTTACCTAATAAATACGAGCGGTCTGTCGTGTAGAATATACTCCCTGTTACCGAGTCTTGGCCCTTTTCTGTATCCCGTTGGTTGGCTGGTGCGGGACTGAACAGTCAGACGGTCGTAGCCTAGCAGGTTCCGTGTTAAGGAAACAGTACTACAACAGTGGCGACGCAGAGTTAACAAGTCGAACCCAAACATGGCAATCCCCTTTGCACAAATGCAAGAACTGTTGCAGACTCTGTTACAACAGCAGCAAGCGCAGTTTGAGAAGGCTCAGGCCAGACTGATCGAAACACTGACCAAGAATTTGTCTCTACAAGCAGGCTCGGTAACAGGTGCAAGTGAACGTGGCCCCTCCGAAGAAGTCTTGACCCAACAAGTTGGTGAGTTCCATTATGATGCCGATGCCGGTATTACGTTTGAATCCTGGTTTCATAAATACGAAGATCTGTTTCGAGTTGATCTAGCAGCTGTCCCAGAAGACAAGAGAGTTCGTCTCCTGCTACGGAAATTGGGTGCGGCCGAGCACGCAAAGTTCATGAATTTCATCTTACCGAAGAAAAGTACTGATTTAACTTTCGACGAAGCCGTTGCTACTTTGTCGCAGATATTTGGTGAACAATCCTCATTATTTAATATCCGATACAAGTGCCTGACGATGACCAAGCGAGGCGATGAAGACTGGGTAACTTACTCAAGTCGCGTCAATCGTGAGTGCGAACGGTCCCTGTTTCACAAGATGTCAGCAGATCAGTACAAGTGCCTTATTTATGTGTGCGGTCTTCAGGCGGCCAAAGATGCTGATGCCCGAACAAGAGTCTTGAATAGAATCGAACAAAATCCAGAGATTACACTGCAGGAAGTGACGAATGAATGCCAACGGTTGATGAATTTGAAACATGATGCTGCGATGATCCAACAGTCGCCCACCCAGAGCAGCCCGGACATCATTTGCAGGGTCAGTCGAAATCCCCACAAGGAACCAGTTCATGTGAGTTCAAAAGATTCAAAACCCCCTTCTCCTTGCTGGTTTTGCAGAGAGTGGCATTTTGGCCGAAACTGCCCGTTCCGGAACCACATTTGCCGCCGTTGTGGTAAGCGAGGGCACAAGGAGTCGTGTTGTCTTGCAAGACGATCAACAGTGATCGGAATAAATCGTCGAATTCCGATGCGCTCCCGATGTCACAACGAAGCTAAAACAGTGACGGCAACTTTCAAGGTTGATGGTGCCAGCAGGCGTAAGTTCACTGTGCTGAAGATCAATGGTAAACAAGTTAGATTACAGTTGGATACTGCGTCAGATATCACCTTGCTTTGTCGAGAAACATGGTGCATGCTGGGGCGACCGCCACTTGTCCACACAGACCACACAGCACGAAACGCATCCGGGGGTATCTTGAAACTGCTCGGGGAGTTGCATTGTCAGGTCAGTTTTCGCGATCAGCATATACGCACCACTTGTTTTGTGACGGATCAACCAGGATTGAATTTGCTTGGTCTCGACTGGATGGACGAATTGAACTTACTTGACCAGTCGGTAAACAGTATTTGCCAGAAATTACAAGTTGAGAAACCCGCTCAGATGCTGAATATGAACCACGAACTCTACACTCAAATCGCTGAACTAAAGCGACGCCATGAAAGTTTGTTTCAATCCGGTCTTGGATGTTGCCGTATTGCCAAAGCAGAATTGAACCTCAAACCAGACGCTAGACCGGTTTTCAGACCAAAACGTCCAGTGCCGTATGCAACACAACCAATTGTGGAATCTGAGTTGAATCGCTTGCAGTCGGAAGGCATAATCGAGCGTGTACATTTCTCGGAATGGGCGGCACCCATCGTTGTGGTGAAGAAAGGAAACGGTAAGGTACGTATTTGTGCTGACTTTTCGACTGGTTTAAATTCCATGTTGGAGGCACACCAATACCCTCTGCCTATACCTGAAGATTTGTTCTCCAAGCTTAACGGTGGAAAATGGTTTGCCAAACTCGATCTAGCTGACGCATACCTACAGGTTCCAGTGGCTGAGAACTGCAGAAAATTATTGACGGTCAACACGCACCTTGGTCTTTTTCAGTATAATCGGTTGCCTTTTGGTGTGAAGACGGCTCCCGCTATTTTCAACAAATCATGGATACGCTCCTGAACGATATCCCTGGGGTCGCAGTGTACTTGGATGATGCATTGATTATGGGGTCTGACCCACAAGCTTTGATGGCCACTTTGGAGAAAGTGTTAACCCGTCTAGAGGAAGCTGGTTTTCGGTTACGAATGGAAAAGTGTAATTTCCTGATGGAAAGTGTTAAGTTTCTCGGTTTCCTCATTGACAAACATGGTCGGCGTCCGGATCCCGCTAACATAGAAGCTGTCCAGCAGATGCCACCACCGAAAGACGTTGCCCAACTTCGCTCATTCCTGGGTCTTGTGAGCCATTATAGTGCTTTCTTACCAAGCCTACATCAGACAAGAGGTCCTCTGAACGAGTTGCTGATGAAAGGGAAAGAATGGCGATGGACAAAGGAGTGTCAACAATCCTTTGATACAGTGAAAAAAGCACTTAGTTCCGACTTGCTTTTGACTCACTTCAATCCAAACTTGGAGATTGTCGTCGCTTCGGACGCTTCCAATTATGGTGTGGGTGCTGTTATTTCTCATCTGTTTCCAGGAGGAGAAGAGAAGGCTATCGCCCACGCAGCACGGTCCCTGACGGTGGCGGAGAAGAATTACAGCCAGATTGAGAAGGAAGCGCTGGCGATCGTTTTCGCAGTGAAACGGTTCCACAAGATGTTATACGGCAGACATTTTAAACTGATTACGGATCACAAGCCCTTGTTGTCGATATTCGGATCGAAGAAGGGTGTTCCTGTTTTCACTGCAAGTCGGTTACAGAGATGGGCTACCATACTGCTAGGTTACGATTTCAGCATACAGTACCGCTCAACACAACAACTCGGCCAAGCTGACGCTCTATCTCGCCTTATCAGCTCCCAGACGAAGGAGAACGATGAATGTGTGGTCGCATTTGTTAATTTCGAGTCAGAAGTTCAGCAAATTCTGTTTGACAGTGTACGAGAGTTGCCTGTAACGTCGGACACAATTCGTGTGGAGACGGCTAAAGACGAACTCTTACCGAAAGTGATAGAGTTCGTGCAATCCAGCTGGCCCAATATCAGAATTTCGGCTGACCTACAACCCTTTTACAATCGACGCGGATCTCTTTCGGTTGTTGGTAATTGTCTGATGTTTGGAGATCGAGTAGTGGTACCGAAAAAGTTGCGGAGCCGAATTCTACAGCAGTTTCATTCAGGACATCCGGGAACCAGCCGAATGAAGGCGCTGGCACGAAGTTTTGTGTATTGGCCCCAAATGGATTCAGAAATCGAACAGTTTTGCCAAAGATGTGAATCTTGTCAGCAGGCGGCGAAGGCCCCTCCAAAGTCTCCGTGGCAACCTTGGCCCGAGTCGGAGAAGCCGTGGCAGCGAGTACACTTGGATTACGCAGGACCAATCAACGGTCAGTCCTACTTGATTTTCGTTGATTCCTACACGAAGTGGCCCGACGTGATTCCGACGCAATACCCCACCGCCCAGCACACTATCAATGAGCTGAGCAAATTGTTCCAGTATTTTGGCACACCGGAAACACTAGTTACGGATAACGGACCGCAGTTCACATCTACGCTATTTCAAGAATTCTGCGCACAAAACGGAATTCGGCACAAGTTTTCACCGCCGTACCATCCACAATCAAATGGGCAGGCCGAAAGATTCGTAGATACATTTAAACGTGCTCTTCTTATGGCGGAAGGATCGAGGGTGTCACGAGATATAATCCAACCGTTCCTGAGAATGTATCGCAACACTCCGAATCCAAACACACCAGAAGGGAAGTCTCCTGCGGAATGCCTCTTCGGACGAAAAATTAGAACGATATTTGATAGCCTGATTCCTAGATGTGATGAAAAACACAGCGGACAAACGAACGAAGAGCAGGAAGGGAGACTTCGTAGGTTTAAGGTCGGTGAACTGGTGTACGCACGAAACTTCCAGACTCCGGGAAGGTGGTCCATCGGAACGGTTATCGGAAAAAAGGGTAAGGTTATATATGAGATAATGGTCGGAAAGGACAAGTGGACCAGGCATGTCAACCATCTACGGCCACGACATGGAAACACCCAGAGACCTCAAGCATCGTCAAAACTACAGTGGGACATTCTGCTAGATACATTTGGATTAGAAAACGAAACTGATGCCTCAAATAGGATAGAACCGGTTGCTCAATTACCGCGTGATATACCGAGCAAGCCAAGTCGAAGACGAAGACAGCCGCAGTGGCTGCAAGTGAACCCAAGGGAAAAAAGCTACGACCAAGCTCAGGTGCGAAAGGTAAGCAGAAGCAGTCCTTTGAAAGAGGGAGGTGCTAGAGAGGCGGGCCCAGCCAATGTCCGAATACGAGATCGCAAACGTGTGTGGGCTTCCGGTGGAGTACGTGAGCTGTCTGCTACATGTGAAAGCACGAGCACGGTACAAAGTCAAACTGTTCGGAAAGCAGGCACGAGCTTTTGGCCAACGAATACAAGCCAGTTCAGGCGAGAGTTTTGGCTAGCAAATACAAGTCAGCGCCAAAGGAGGCAGTGCATTCGGCCAAATATGGAAAAACCGTGGAACCAAAATCACTGACATTGGCTGAGAGCCAGTCGCATAGCTAGGCTTCCTAAAAATAGTACGTTTCGTTACCTAATAAATACGAGCGGTCTGTCGTGTAGAATATACTCCCTGTTACCGAGTCTTGGTCCTTTTTCTGTATCCCGTTGGTTGGCTGGTGCGGGACTGAACAGTCAGACGGACGTAGCCTAGCAGGTTCCGTGTTAAGGAAACAGTACTACAGCAACTGCCCTCCCGGAATTAGAGGTATCCGATGTTCTACCCAGCTGCAAATTCCGTAATCATCATTCATATCCGTGAACAAATATACATACTTCTGTAGCACGTCCCTTATTGCACGGTTCGGGCACTAGGGAAGAACCGTCACGGCACCTATGTGGTCGCGTTTCCCTGGGCTCATCTCGATCGTCTTACTGTCCACTATCACAACATTCTTCCTCAAATCAATGGTTGCACCCAACCGTTTAAGGATGTCGTTACCGATGATTGTCTCCGTTGCCCCCTCAACCACGAACATGGAGTGACTAATGACCGTTTTTCCGATTCTCACTCGTAATCGCTGAGCCCCAATAACCTTCAAGCAGTGTCCTGCGACTGTTTGCATTGCGATTGACGACTGTAGTAACGGGACACACTCGAACCTTTTCGTAATGGAATCGCCGGCTCCCGTACCTGTCATCGCATTAACCACGACACCCTCAATTGTTATTTCTAAGGATGGTACCCGCCACCGACCCGACATAGATAAAGAAAAACAACGATAAAAAATTTCTTTTTGTACAATATGCAGCGTAATGACCCAGCTGGTTGCATCGGAAGCAGCGGGGCCTATCTCGTCTTCCGGACGCATTGCGTAGTGTCTCGGTTCTCGAAATTTCGCTAACCAACCTCTCAACCATGCGCGAAAGCTGGTCTATTTTGCATTCCAACGCGGACGGTTCGATTCTCCCTATCTCCACGGGCCCCACAAAACTCTGTGCCACCGCCACAAGGTCTTCTGCTGTACTGACCCCAACCATGGATGCCAATTTCACTTTGTCCTGAATGGGTTTGGGCAAACTTCGGACGAATTGGCCTCTCAGTAGTCGATCTCTCGCGCCGCAATCCAACTCAGGGAGCGCCACCTCCAAGTGTCTCTTCAGCCGCTGAAAGAACACCACCAAATCTTCTTGCTCTTCCCAATTGGTTGAGTGGAACTGCTCGAGCGCATGTTGCCGATCGCTCTCCTTACCGAATTCCGCACACAGGGCAGACTTCATCTCGGCAAATAGGCAGCCAGCCTTGGCCTTCCTCGTTAGCTGGTAGGTCGCCTTTGCTCTCCCCGTCAGCATTGTGCCCAAAGCGGTCAACAAATTGGCATCTCCTTTGATCCCGTTGCACGCCGCAATGGCCTCGAATTCCTCCAACCACGATTTCCAATCTCCCCCTGCGAACGGCGTTGGCCACTGAAGCTTCATGCTGATTGGTCACGGCACCAGTGTAGCGACAAGACAACGCGGCAATGAACTACGACCCTCATTGGCGCGAACACACGCACTACACATCACTCACACTGGCACACATTAATAGGTCAGGTTTCTTTCCCACGTCGCACCATCCCTCCTGGCCTCCGCTCGTGACACTTCGATGCTCCTTCTGGGGAACGGGAACGCATCTTCTATGTCCGTTTCGCCCGTGTATCTTCGCTTCCACACCTCCGATTCTGACAAGCCCGGAGCCGCTCGATAACGTGCGCTTTGCTTGACCGTGGGTGTATCACTCTCCCCGGTGTTGTCTCTTGAAGATGCGATACCGGCGGCTTTGTCCGATTTATTGCGCCTTCAACAAATTCCCCACCTGCTTTGCCTGCCCCGGGCTCACCCACGGATGCCGCTCCTGTCCCGTTTCCGCCCCGTTCTATTGAGCCTGGGTTTCTCCAGTGAATTGCCCCCATTGCATCGGTCTCTCTATTCGTCCGCCTCCGTCTTAATAGTCTCACCGTCCTTTGGGCAAACGCTGCCTTCCGCCTTCCTACAGTATTACTTTACTTGACCTGACGGCTATAACAACTTTATTCCTACTCTCAACTTCTCCATATTTTACTGTCTTTAAATGACTGAGCACCTCAATCACTTTTATGAGAATATGATAGATCTTGAAAATTCCCACCACTATCCAACCTTGATGTACCAATTAATCAGGCTGGCATTTTGTTTGTGCCTCACATGTCGAGACTGAGACTGAGACTGTATTTAAGAGCAAATAGTAAGGTTACTTTACAACTCTCTCGAATTACGAGAAATTAAAATTTACTTGTGAATTATCAGCAGTTGTGTCTGGTCCGTTAATCGTTTATCCGTGTTCGGTTAGAAATTTGTACTAGTGTCATTATTTCCGGACATACAATGTCTTCTTTTGGTACTGTATGTGCATCGTTTCACAAAAGCACAGGTTTCCAAAATAATCGTCGATACGGGTTTTAAAACACTTCACAGAATCGGCCTCTATTAATCCTTCTGGTAGTGTATTCCATAAGTTTACGATTCTTCGTTCGATACAAAGCTGATGTGATACTTTGTTCATACTGGGGACCCTGAGTTTGTAACGATGTCTTCGGGTGTTACAGGGTTCTCGCAGGTGAAATATTGGCCGCAGTATGGGGAAGTGATTCAAGTGTAATACTCGATGGGTCATAATAAGGTCAATTCTTACTCGGCGATAGGATAGTGTGTAGAGTCCGAGCCTTTCACAACGTTTTTCATACGGAAGCTTTCGTAGACTTGGTATCATTCTAGTTGCGATATGCTGTATTTTCTCCAGTTTTTCAGTTTCCCATTGGGTTATTTGATGATAAGCTGGGGCACCGTATTCAAGGATTGGTCTAATGAGCGAGGTGAATATTCGAGGGACGGTATCTTCGGACCATGTGGAGAAACTGCGTCTTAATGCCCAGAGCATACGAAGTCCCGCACGGTACAATTTATCCGTATTTTCTAGTGATCTTAAATCATGTCGTGAGAGAACTCCTAAGTCTCTGACAGATGTGTTGGGATGGAGCAACTGGCCGTCCAATGTGTATGATCGAGTGACCGGACGTCTGGTGATACTGATGAACTCCGACTTGCTTGCGTTAAGAGGGAGTTCCACTTCAGTGGAACACGTTGACAGTCGCTCTAAGTCATGCTGGAGGCGAGCGCAGTCGTTCTGGTTTTCAGTGATCCTCCAGATTTTCAAATCATCTGCAAACAGGGCACATGGTGACTGGAGCTGCTGCGGAAGATCGTTGATATGAATAAGGAATAATACTGGCCCAAGTACAGTTCCTTGAGGCACGCCACTAGTCGATGGGAACCAGTCTGTCAGACAGTCATTCACCTGTACTCTAAACCTTCGTCCCACAATAAACTCTTGTATCCACTGAAGTAAAGTGCCACCGATTCCGTATGTCCTCAGTTTACGAAGGAGTACCTCGTGGTTCACTCTGTCAAATGCCTTACTAAAGTCGATGTACACCACATCAACATCCTTCCGTTCATTGAGAGCTCGTACCCACTGGTGGTTTGCGTACATCAAGTTGGTGATGCAGGATCGCCCTTTCGTAAAGCCGTGTTGCGCTGGCGTCAATACGTCCATCGATTCGAAGAACGACAGCAGGCACTTTTTCACAATCTTCTCGAGAACTTTGGATAATACCGAAGTCAAACAGATCGGTCTATAGTTCTCTATTTTACTCGGATCACCACCCTTGGGAAGCGGTTTAACTATCGAGCATTTCCAGTCGTTCGGGACGGTTCCTTCAGAGAGCGATCTATTGAAAAGGTTTGTCACAACTGGTGAGATGATAATAGATAGG